ATATTTTCTGACTGCGTCACCAATTTCCTCAGTTAAGCCTCGAAATGTAATCTATTTCACTACCTGTGTCGGTACACCTTTTTCAATTTCATCATTTTTAGGTATTTTGATATCAGTTAAATTTGGCAATCCAAGAAATATTATATCCACTTTTGCTAATAAAATTTGATTACCTGAACTTTTTATTGCCTGATGTTATTCATGGTTTCAAGGTCAAAACTACTGAACCATAGTCAAACGGCTAATAATTACAGCTGAAATAACAGGTATACGAGATCGAACCACACTACAATTACTGTATTAATTCATCGCATTTCCTTCGCAACTTTTTGTTATGCAAATTACGATTGTGTTCTTTGCAGATTCCGATCTCACTTATACGTATGCGGTGTACAACTCGCTAAAAAAAGACTTCGCCATTCTCCGACAGAATTAACACGATAATATCATTTGTGAACGTTTATTACATTTCTTCTTTTGCAATAATATTAGGTAATAATTCCCGCAAATTCAAGAAATATTAACTAATTCATATTGAAACGAAATAATATTTTTCATTTGCTTATATCATTCTGTGAGGTATACAAAATGAATTAGGTGTTTTAATTTATCAATGTTATTCCTTAATTTTATTTGATAATTTATAGTACTATTACAGTTAGAATTTTAGTCCCGCATTTATACGACAGAGCTATGTCAGATATAATCAGAATAATGCATGGAATCTTCACGATGTTGACCCTAGAATGAATGCATGCGATTTCGCTGACGAACGCGGTGATTAATCTTAAATATTTTAGTTATTATCGAATTCGGAGCGTTTATTGCTTTTCAAATCAAGATGTAGGTTATTTTAAAATAGAGTGTCATAATGTCAAAGGAATGTAATGAATGTTTTATCTTCATTTTGATTAGTTCAAACTTTGAAAATGAGCTGAAATGCTGTTATTAACAATATTTCCTCTGAATTGTTAATTATTCATGCTCTTGTTGGGGTACATATTGTTGGGGCTCATATGGACGTTAGGGCATTTACATGAAATTAATAGAGCAACAGCATATGTGCAACACTATTCGAGATACCAAAACACCTTTAAACCTACTGTTATCCAATAATATCGCAGATAATGGGGATAAATAACTTGTTAACCCACGGCATTCGTGGAATTTTATATTATTGTTTATACAGTACTAGCAAATCACCAAAAAGTAAACATAAGAAACGAGGACCTTTGTGTCATAAAATTGATAAGTAAAATAAAATGACGAAAAATCGTTTCAGGATAGATAATAGTTCATAATCATCAAATAAGAAGCTCGAGGACGTTCACCGCGTGTACCAGTGCATTCGGTGTTACACCCCACCAAGATTGTGTCATTTATTTCCTTTCGAAAATAAAGTCAGTTTATGGACACGTTGCGAGCGTTTGTCGTCGGCTTTCGAAACAATCGATAAGACGCACCTTAAGAATTCTCTGACCGACTACGTCACGCACCTTCCACGAACGATAAACCTGAACCGAGTGTTTCGGAAGTTTCGACGAAATCCGCGAATGAACAGACTTTGCACTTGGAGATACGTAAGTCATCGAAAGTACCGGGAAAATTGAATGACACTGCGAAATTAATCAATGCGCTATTTTTGGAGACGGTAGCACTCATGTGTTTACTCGTGCTGTTAGTCATAATTGATTTCGAATTTTTGTAGTTTCTAAAAATATTAAAATTTATGCGTTTGGGTATTTGGGAGATCATATTGAAATTTTAGGACTTGGAAATTTAAGAGATTTGAAGATGTTGAAATTTGAAATATGGGGATTTGGGAATTTGAGAATATTAACATTTTACTGAATTAAATCCCCAAGCACAAGAAACCAGAATGAAGATCATCTTAGCAGATTTCTTCTTCGAATTATACCAGTATTTACGTGGATAACAGAAAACTCAGCAAGTGACTATGCTAATTAGAAGAATGAATGTAGCAAAGTATGAATGTATCCCCTGGCACGAATGTAAAATGAGTAAGTATAAAGACAGTTTTGAATGAGGCTTCAAGAAGATGAAAAATGGAGCAAGAAGATTAATAAGCATTCAAAAGCGAACTGCGGCATTAAAATGCTTCGTAGCGTGTATACAAATTGTAGTTGTCAACTATACTTATACTTAAATTAACCAAATTAATTTATTGTTTCTTTACGATTGGATTAAAAAATAAATTTGAATATTTAGCTTCGCGTTTATATTTCTGTTGTTTTCATCGACGAGAATTATTGCAGTTTAATACAATCGAAACGGTGGCAACGGCACGTTGTTCTTTTCGAGACGAATTGTTTTAGGAAAATTATAAAAATCGTTCGCATTTTTATTTTACTGTACTGACTTTTATCCACTGAACGCGGTAAATATATATTGAGGTCTATTTTCTTCAAAGGTTTTGAAATATTGAAATTTGCTATGTGGTATACTTATCTCTACGGATGTGCGTCAATTTCACGCGATCGTAATGTAAATAAAATTTTTAGTAAATTAGTTTTACCCAGGCAAAAATGACAACAATAATAAATATGAATGCACCGACAATACCTTATAAACGACGGACTTCGCTAGTCCGGAGTCGCACGCGGTCGGCTCAGCCGGTATGCCGGGTTCGGACCCGGCGTCGCAGTACAAATCGCGGTTCGCAGAGTAGAGGGAAGTAAAAATATGAATGTAGAATATTGAAGTAAAGAACTAAAATATTATTGAATAATAAAAACTTTCTATAACTATCTCATATTTTCATTTCTTACTTTTAGTGTTTAATTATATTCTAAGTCGTTGTTTTTCTTTAATATTCGTTCTTGCGTCAAATTGACGCGTGTTCGTAGAAATAGGTATATAAGAAATGTCCGTAAACCTAGTGTTAAATGCTAGGGACGTTTTCTATATGGCAATCATTGGTAGTAGGAATTGAAGTTAAATGAAATTGAATCGTGGTAAAAATGTGAGCCAGATTCGTCGCATTTTTGTTACGTGCGTCGCGTGCGTCACGATATTGTAAGGCAAGGTTAAAAGAAAAAATTAATGTGTTCTGGTAAATAAGAGAATATGAAATTTGATCTACACTCGCATCATTTTTACAAGAAAATCGACTTGTAAATATAAACTGATCGCCGACAATTCTCTTTTTATAACCAAAGGAAATTATAGAGATAAATGTTCTAAGGCGTAGACTATTGATGGAATACGGATGATTACGTTATGCTTGAAATACGTATACGGTTATACCCGTTAACGTGATCGAGTCTAATCAATTATCTTAAAGAACAGGCGCCACGGAAAGAATGCCACAAGATAACGCGAAGCAACGTAACGAAAAATAGTAAGAATGCAATTGCAAAACTGATCAAAAGTTCGCGGTAATTGAGTTCACAAGTGATTAACGATCAAAGCACAATAAACATTGCATGTTTATCTCATTCTTCGTAGCAGAAAATTACCGAGGGAGTTGGAAGTGTACCTCAAGAACGGCAATCATGTTGATTATATCGATAACATTGATAGTTACGTTGTGCTTAATGCTCGTGTAGTTATTGCACACGGATAACACAAGCAAATAGTGTTACGAAAAATTGTGCAAGTCGAATGAATATGTGTAATAGACATACAAATATTCGCATTTATAAAAATCTATTTTATTCAGTTGGCTTGTAAAAATTTTTTCTATAAAAAATTAGTAAATGTCAATAAATAATACAATAATGCGCATATATTGATTTTTAGCATTAATAAAAATTGTAGTAAATTTAATTAGTAGGGCACTTCTATACGTGCAGACAGAAATCTTAGTAATATAAAAAAAAACTCCATTTATTAATATAAGTGACAGAACGTAATAAAAAAATAAACCGAGTAAAAAATTAAGGAAGTAAATAAATATTGCCACTGTGATAAAAAAATTCCCTCAATAATACCGAAAAATAAAAAGCCTGTGAATTTCATAATTCCCGCGCAACAATAACTGAAAAATTCTCTACGAATAAAAAACATTTCGATTGCATTATCATTTCGATATAATTTCACTCTACTTTATTCTTGCATAATTTTAAAAATAATCATAATCGAAATTAAAGACAATAACAATTATATTGTTTTATCGAATACCCAAGATAAGTCAAGAGACCATAGACCTATATAAGACACGAGCAACTTGGCGGGATATTCAAAATAACACAATAGAATTTGATTAATCGATTCGTGTAACGTTATCGATCAACCAACTTGTCATTCGATGCTAATTATCAATGACGATTATGAAGCTGAAAAGGATATGATATTGACACAATGTGATGTGACATAAAGAACTTTCTGTTCCCACAAGACGATGTTCTTGAACGAGCAACTACGGAACCGCAAATATTTGTCTTTTCCACGCCATCTTGACAGGAGTGGCGCGCTGCTTCGACACCCTTATAGTGCTGTTATAATGAGCATCGGTAACGCTAATGATTTTCAGCGGTTTTGTTCCGACTACTTATCCTCAAGTAAATCCTACATTTGAAACGATCGTAATCCTGAAATTTACACGTTCGTGTTTCGTGAAACCTAAGAACCAAAGTTATGCAAACGTTAAATCTCGCAATCGGTATTCGACGATTACCATCGTGAACATGTCACGTTAGCGAATCGATAAAATCAAACGGTCACGTCGCTTCCACGGTATTAATGCACATCCATGCGAACGTCTCGATAAAAGTTGACAAGTCACGTTGTGGTGTTCCACAAAATTTTTTTGCAGACTAAGCGAAAAGGAGACCGTATTAAATGGAGCGTACGAGTGGCAAGAAATTTCGTGGAAGGCATAAACAAAACGCTCGCGTGTGTCACAAACGGAACCGTCCGCTTTTTGCTGTCATAGTAAGGAAAAAACACTGACCGTAGCGAAAGAAGCAGACTTTCTAGTTGAAGGTCACAACGCAAGACGAGTAAAATGAGCCGCGAGTACAAATTGTGTCACTTACCTGATTCAAAGTTGTAGGAATGATGTCAGGGGTCTGTGGTAACATTTTACCGGCGATCTGTTGTCGAGTGCCCCTCGAATCAAAACGATCTTGCGACACACACGATCGGTAGCATAATATCCTGACGGGGGAATAGTAGAAAACACCTTGACAGAATGCACACAGGAATCGATCACGAAGGACTCGCCACCAAACTGTTTATCACTGACAAATCGTTTCGACACACTACTCGCTTATTACCCGACAGTCCCGCTGACTTTACTAACGACGCGATCGCCGATCGTTTCAATGATCGTCGTTTACAAAAATACGATTGATTTTTTCCGTGTCGAAAACGAAGCGGCAAGACGAACGAACACACCTTCTCACTCCGAAGTTATGCGCGAGACTGACGGATCCGGGCGGTGGAGCTAAGACCGAGCGTAACCGAGCGCTGACGAAAATGGCCGAATACCTATCATCCCCCGAATACGCGCACGTCATGGTGTTTCTAAAATTTAATCGCTATCGACTATCAATGAAGAATTGCTCTACTAATTATCGAGTCAATTTCTACAACTGATTGTTAATTAGCTTTGTTTTCAGGTTGAGGATTGTAGTCTTTCGTGATTCAAGAGTAATTAACCCTTGAAGATTCGGTTAAAAAGAGAAAGACGCGACCTTTGAACCATACCTGCATTTATACGTTTTACATTGAATTTACTGAAATAAAATATCGATTATAGTGTAAAGACGAAACAAATGGGTCGAAAATATAGATACAGGGTGTCTCGATGGTAACACAGGTATCTCGAAATGTATACGTACTTTTAATGTTAATGTCAAAACATGGCGGGCAAGAATATTATCGCGTATAAGAATACAAAATGGCGTCCATGTTAATGGCGGTTATTATCAACATTCGTAACTTTAAGATAACATCTGTTTAACCTCTTCTATTTATTAAATTATGCGATAATGAAGTGTACATTTTAATGAATAATTTTATAATTAAAACTTGAAGATTAGTTTCTAATTCAAACTCGTTAATTAAAGATTAATTTCAATTATGGACTTTTTTAATTACCTCTTAACTTTGTGCCGTTAATTGAAACTTTTAATTGACAGTAAAAATTTAATTTTTTGTTCAACCACGTCTCTTTAAAGTTACAAATATATTTTTTAATTAAATCTCCCGCGAGTGAAGACGAATTTGAATTCTTACTGAAAATGTCCATACACTGATGATCAAAATTTGATTTTTATTTATAGATTTTGTAAACATTATGTTGGTCATTTTGAACAACCATAATTTTTATTTATAGTGTCATAGCACATTAATGTAGTGCTTGAGATTTGATGAAGAGATAAGATTTAGTATTGACGAATTTTTATTCTTAATTAGGGATGCTTCAATTAAGAGTAAAAGTTATTCATAAAATGAAAGAATTTTTAATTAAAGCCAACTCAATTAATACCTACACTTCATCAATTAAAACATAGGCAATTAGCTATCTATAATTTTAATTAAAAATTACAAAATCTAGCACAACAGTTCTACAAGTTATACAACATCAATATGTACGACTTTATTTTCAATTTAAAGATCATCAACATTGCATATTCACAATTCATAACCCATTTCATTATCGATTAAATTATACACATAAATGGACTGTTTACCATCAGGATTGTTTACCATCATAAATAATTAAATAACATTAATAATTTATACATTTTAAATTAACTATGATTTACAAATTTCTATCATAATCTTCTCGTGAATATTTGTAGATACACTTCATCGGTTTTAAATAAAAGTTACACGATATTATTTTTACAATTAAAATTTATTAAAATATATTTTACTATATATAATATAGTACTAACAATTACTATATAAACTTGATTATCAATCGCCATGATTTAAAATTTAACAGGAACGCACAGTTTTGCTCATTTGACCTTATTTAAAGTATTTTCTGTATCCAGAAGATATTCTCGCAATCCGTTTTCTCTGGCACGGAAACATTTGCAAACGAAAACTCGTATACATCGATATACGATCACAAATGTATGTAAAACACTTCGGTCGACGAAATACGACTTCATTTCTGTAGGAGACTGCTCTGCCATCAGAAGCTCATTTGTATTCACTCTGTAATGGTTGCCTCGCAAGACGCATAATAGTCGGACGTAACGAGTCGCTTTGCAAACGACAAATTCCTTTCTCTGACCGATTCTACCATACTTGGAATTTAAACGCCATCTTCGCGAGATGAACTTTTGAAATTGACAGGAACCTCGTGGAAAGAACAAACACTAACATCACGAGTCTACGCGAAAGCGGAGATGAAAGGACAACCAAGACCGATCGATGAAACTGAAATTTAGTTAAAAATATCGGTTACGTCAACTGATTTTTTTGAATATTGTGAAATATTGTATCGATGTTTTACCAAAACATATTCGGAAAAATGTCGAGTGTTATTGTTATGACTGTCACAATGCAACTCTGTTCCAACCATCGATAAAATGGAACAAATAGACGATTGTATACAAATTGTTGTAAACGGGAAACTTGATAACTTTTGTTGTTTCTGCACTTTAATAATAAAACTACCAAACCAGATGACTCCTCCACAAGTTTACTATTATAAGTTACATGATTTAAAGTACTTTTCTTGAAATCCACATTGGTTTTCATCAAGATAAAGATTTATGTACTAATTTATGTTTTATCATTTGTCCCTTTATTTTTTATTTCGAACTAAGTATTTTTCATTTTCAAGCTAAGTTTTCATTTTAATATTTATTACTTTTTTAATACTTTCTTCCGTTCATTTTCTTGAAATTATGAAAGATCAGTATACTTTCTCGTATCTTTTTTACTGCGAACAAATAATGCAATACACGATCGAGACAAAAGGTAAATTAATTGCAGAATCTGAATCGATCCGAGTTCACTTCCGCGACTTTCTATGACCTACATTTTATCCCTGATCGAAAACCGTTTTATCCGCATCACCGATTCAACGACTTCCGGAATAATTCACCGTCATTTTCCGCGAAAGCTGTTCTTTAATTTCAAATATTTAATTTACCCTCCTTCTTCGTATACAAACTTCTGTCCAATAAAAAGTACAAGACTTAATTCCGTGAACTTGAAAAATTAATTTTCTTGAACCTACCACATAATGTGTACTTAATTTGATATTAAAAATGAACTTAAAAAATAAACAAACATAAATTAGTACACACATTTATCCTTTATCTTGATAAAAATCAATACTGATTTCAAAGAATGCACTTCCTTTATTGTTAAGGCAATGTTATCTTCTGTCTATAAATACAAGCATCGCATTTGTAAATAATTTATCTACATAACACATATTTGTCTACACAAGCATTATCTTGAAAGAAAAGCACGACAAATATTTTTATGAAATTTTACTTCTTCAATCGTAAAATCGCTGAATTTTCTGTTAAAGCATAGTCTAATTAGCGAAGCATGTATTCTCGATAACGTGTTTTGACTTTTCAAGTCCTTAAATGCGTAATTAATTGCTTGCACTAATTGGTCCTCGATATCTTTGCCGTTTCTTTGATGTCCCGTAAATAGAAGTCCATGTAGACCTTGAAGGCCAGACTTTTATTCCTCTATTGAATAATCGTAAATCTGGTTAACACCAGGTTTACGGACATTTCTTATATACCTATCTCTACGAACACGCGTCAATTTGACGCAAGAACGAATACATATTAAAGAAAAACAACGACTTAGAATATAATTAAACACTAAAAGTAAGAAATGAAAATATGAGATATTTATAGAAAGTTTTTATTATTCAATAATATTTTAGTACATTACTTCAATATTCTACATTCATATTTTTACTTCCCTCTACCCTGCGAACTGCGATTTGTACTGCGACGCCGGGTCCGAACCCGGCATACCGGCTGAGCCGACCGCGTGCGACTCCGGACTAGCGAAGTCCGTCGTTTATAAGGTATTGTCGGTGCATTCATATTTATTACTGTTGTAATTTTTGCCTGGGTAAAACTAATTTACTAAAAATTTTATTTACATTACGATCGCGTGAAATTGACGCACATCCGTAGAGATAGGTATACCACATAGCAAATTTCAATATTTCAAAGCCTTTGAAGAAAATAGACCTCAATATATATTTACCGCGTTCAATAGATAAAAGTCAGTACAGTAAAATAAAAATGCGTACGGTTTGTGTAATTTTCCTAAAAAAAATGCGTCAAAATGACACGACTCGTAAACCTGTTAACACTAAAACTACTAAGCCGGTCAAATGACCGCTCCACAAGTTTCTTATTATAAGGTACACATTTTGTTAAAGTACATTCCTTAAAATCAGCATTAATTTTCATCAAGATAAAGAATAGATGTATGTACTAATTTGTGTGTCATCGTTTGTTTATTTATTTCTTAACTTCATTTTTAATTTCAAATTAAGTATACATTATATGTCGGTAGATTTAGTGTTAAATAAAGTGTGGAACGCTATGATAAAACACTGCCAAAAGAATTTCCAACGTTATCTGAAAACCGAAATTCAAACAAATTGTTTCCTATTTTTCTATAACGCGGTGTCTTTTACACGTTATTCAGCCCGCTCCTATATAATAGCAGTAAGTGAACGCATCTACGGAAGAACTGGCGCCATGAAGACTCTAGAATGGCTATCCATAAAACATGTTCGTCCAAATGCGCCAGAAAAGGAGAAAGGACGAGCGAGCGAGATGGAAAGGGTAGCTCTGATGAGAGAAAAGAGACCAAACGTCTTCCCGCCACTTGTCTTCCATCCTCCTAACCACCAAGAAACGTTTAAGCAAAGGGAGCTCGTTTACACGAAGGGTGCAACACAGGAACATAAGGAAGGAAGAAGGATGGGCAACGATGTTGCTCAGGAACGACGACAAATCTTCGAAAGACTGATCGATCAAACAAGAACATCTTTCAGCCGAGCGGTTTTGAGATATTCTTGACACATTGACGACATGAGAAATTCTTGCTTGTTGACCTTGTCGAATCAACACTTTCTTCCTTTTTCAGAAACGTATGTACACTTCGAAGGGGGGAAATTTTTTCTTTGTAAATGTAAATTATATCGCTTACAGCTCAGTGAGTCCTCTGCGAAAACAAATTCTACAAATATTTGCAGTCCTTGCACGTTAGTTTCTTCCTTTTACTTGTACGTTGTTTTTGGCCTTGTACCTACACGTTGTTTTCGGCCTTGATACTGACAATTTTTCGAAAAAGTTGTGACGTTCTTCCAGAAAGTGTTTACAACTTAAATGTCCGTTGTAGCCGATTCGGTATAATTTTAAGGACCCACGTCGTGTATTTCCTTACCTGACCACCCACAACT